TTCCGATCTAGGAAACCAGGATATATATATATATATATATATATATTGAAAGGGTTTAAAAGTAGGGCGTGAGATTCCAAACTACATTTCTCTCCACCCTCCTCTTTCTCTTGCAAAATGAAGCCGCCTCAGCCAACGCTTAAGTACGTCGTTACTGCCTATAATTCACCCTATGGATTCTGGCTCATTATGATGCTGTAACTGTAGCGACCAGCTTTTTGCCCGAGGTTCTTTGCTCCCAGACTGTGTATTAAAGCTTTACTCCTGGAATGTTAAGTAAACTGTGTACCTTAGGTGCAGAGGTTTCCTTTAGGAAACCAGGTTGTCTGCTACAGAAAATGTCAGGCCTGTGACTTTGAACCATCCAAGGCTTGAGTGGGTTGCATCGTTGGGAAGAACTGATTTGCAAAGGCGCCTGGAATCTATTATCCCATAAGATTATGGGGGAAGTCCAGCCGAAGCTTGGGGTTTGTCTAAAAACGCAGACTTGATGAGGCAATGCCTTTTAGCAAAGAAATTATGTTGGTTTGATTAACTGAGGGAAAAGCTGGATGTGTAGTCATCACACCGGAATTCCTGTTAAACCAAGCAGAATTGTGGCAGAGAAGCCATGGAGTCAAACTGCACTCAAAGCTTTATACATAGCTCCAAGCTTAAGTAACCTTTGAAATTCCTTCTTTGGGGAACTAGAGCATTTATTGTGATTGGAGGGAACAAAATGCCAAGGTTCCATAGAATGGGAACCATATTTTCACAGAGATCTGTTTCCCCTATGAGGTTTTACTGGGTGAGGGCAGGGAGCCTCTGCCCAAGTTAACATTAAAGGCAATTACTTTATGCTCCTAGTAGATCATTTCTTCTTTCTCAAGGTGGCAGACCTATTTGCTGACATAGCGGAAATATGTAGATGCGGCTCTTTCTAACAAGCGAAGGAATCCGAGTTCAGATGTAAAAAGATCTCAGTTGACAGCTTATGTGGGGGCGAGAGCAAGGACACAAGAACTAATTTGCAGGGTTATTTTCTCCATCAGCCTCTGCAGACTTTGTAGAGAGACTATTGAGGGCCTGCAATAAAGCAAAAAATCGTTAGCGTCAAGATAAGAAAATGGAAAACACCATGAAGTAGATATAACTAGCCATCTGCAATGCAACTCAGTGTTCCCAGCTACATTTAAATTATATTTAATGTATGGTATAAGTGCATTTAACAGGTTCTGCTATACCATGGATGGCCCTCCTCAACAGTGTCTGGCGCCTCTGAGGGCCTGTAATTGAACAGACGAAATTTGTAATGAAAGGTTTCAAAACCAAGCCCCAAGAAATGTTTGTTTTCAGTTGTTTTGAAGGGTCTTTTGGTTAGCCATACTGTAAGTGGATCAGCATCCAAAAAGAAAACAAAATTTTCTCTGTAAATCCTGAATCTTGTTGTTTTAATTACAAGTCAAACATGGTTATACTTTGATAGACGTTGATAGGTTATTTCTTCAACAGTGAAGTGAGCCGATTCAAGCCAGAGTCGATTATATTAAAGGCAGGTTTACTGGGATGGTGTTCATGCTGGAGTTCTCTGGCCCCAAGGAAGGAGGCTACGGAGTCACCATGGGGTGGTGGTGGAGAGAGAAAGGCAGAAGGAAAGAGAGAGAGAGGAGACCAAAATGTGGGGGAGGGGAGAGGGAGGGAGGAAGGGAGAGAGAGGAGACTGAAATGCCTGGATAATACATAGGGAAGAGCCTTTAGGAGGACAGCCGCAGCCCAGCCTCTGGGCTGGCAGGGTCGGGGCCAGGGTATGCCAGGTAGGGACTGAGGGATGCTGAGAGATCTAGAGGCCAAGTCTGTTTTGATATGTAAAATATGCACCTCAGTCCCTTGTCCTAGTCTGAGGCCAAACAGGGGTAACTAATTCTGGATAGACTTAAATAAGTGAGAACAGATTTGTAAGTTCAGTTGAAAAATCAAGCTCACTGTTGAGAAGTCAGCCTCTGTCACTGTATGCGGGCAGATGCTTGTCTTTCACAATTAGCTAATGGCTTTCGGGTAAACCAATGTTTTCCTCCCAGATAGCAGATTGATACAATAACAGAAATGGAAGGGCTGTTTGGGGGTTGGACAGTAGGAAGTCCCCACAGTGTAAGGGAATTTAGATTGCAGAGTTCTGAGCTCCCCTGCAAGGATTTTATTAAAGAAAAAGACAGCCCCTTCACGTGTTGGGTCCTCATGTTTGAGGTGAACCTTGCTCTTTACAGAATCGCTGTAGAAACATCTCTTGTTCTGTCTTTTGCAGAGTATAATAGTGCTAATGGGGACATACTGGCGTTACGATCAGCCATGTGTTCCGGGGCTCTAAAAGTCCACAACTAATTCCCATTCTCTGGGGAATGTCTTCCAAAAGGGCTTTGTATCACATACACCAGGCTATGAGATGATAATTTGTGTTTAACTGTAGGTAGAAAATACAGGACTCCATTTGGCATCCTTAGTAGCCCAGTGATAGAGACTCATGGATTTCCTTATTGGCTTTGCTGGGAAGAGAGCAGAGGTAAATCTTTTCATAATGTGCCGTAAGTTACAACAGTGGCAGTACAATTGGTTTCTGAGAGAAACTAGGACAATAAAGTTCTAGAAAAGGGCAGGGAAGGGCAGATGCCGCACTCTGCTCAAGTGACTTTAAAATCTCTGCTGTTTACTTGATCTGAGTTTAGTCTAATCTTACGTGACACACTAAAGTTATACTGTGAAATTCTTAAAGAATTGCTTGGTTCTTTTTTTGGTTCAAAGCAACGACCTATTACATTGTGACTCGCCCCAGGATGCATGCTGGTCAAGTCCAAAGAATGAGTGGCTTTAATCTTTAGTCAAAATTGACCTGCTATTGACCCACCGATCTCTACTTCAGTATCTAGTAAGAAAATACTAGGATGATACACTCAGTGCCGCCAATTACGAAGTCTTAATAAAAGTGCGGCTGAGCGTGTCACTCAGTTGGTAGACTGGCTTGCATAGCATGAAGGTAGGCCCGAGTTTGATCCCTTGCACCACATAAAACTGGGAGTGGTGTTGCATACCTGTAATTCCAACACTTGGGAGGTGAAAGGGGAGAAAGAAGGTCAGATCATTCTTGGCTACACACGGAGTTCGAGGACAGCCTGGACTAGAAGAAAGCCTGTATCAAAAAATAAATAAATAAAAGGGCAATAATCTTTGTAGACTCACATTTTACCTGACCTACATTTAATGAACTACATTTAATGAAACATGCATACTCATTCATTCTTAAATGAACATTTCTTATCTTCTTTAATTAAGTCTGTGACAGACTTTGCTCTACATTGGTTTTTTGTCTGTTTGTTTTGGTTTGTTTTTTTTTGTTGTTGTTGTTGTTGTTGCTGTTTGGTTTTTCGAGACAGGGTTTCTCTGTGTAGCCCTGGCTGTCCTGGAACTCACTCTGTAGACCAGGCTGGCCTCGAACTCAGAAATCTGCTTGCCTCTGCCTCCCAAGTGCTGGTATTAAAGGTGTGTGCCACCACTGCCCAGCCTTTGCTCTTCATTTATGCCTCAAAGAAATTCGTTGCCAGTCCTTGTGGGGCTGCAGTATAGTGGAAAGATGGATATTAAACATGTTCTCTGGGGAGTCAATAATTCTAAACTATAAAAATGTCTAGAAAACGCACTTGGTCATACAAATGACATACATGAGTAAGGTAGAGACGAAAGGCTAAGAAGGTAGGTGATCTGAGACCTAAAATATTGTAGCTTAATCTATTAAAAGAAGGAGGAGGAGTAGGATGAGGAAGAGGAAAAGGAATTCCTATTTTTCTCAGTACTAGGGACTAAGACCAGGGCCTTGTGCACGCTAGGCAAAAGCCCTACCACTGAGCTATGTAATGAGATAGGGTTGTCTTTTGTGGCCCATGCTGGCCTTGAACTTACTAAGTAATCTCAAATTCACAATCAAACTACCTTAGCCACCTCATTGCTGAGATTCTAGGTATGTGCCATCAGCAAATGAAGAATATTATTAAATATAGGGTGGCAGTTATCAATAAATACAACATGTTTTGTAGTTTTAATACAATGAACTTTTGCGGAAAGCAAATCGGAGAAAGCTTATATGGTTTTGTTCAAAACTTTACTAAAACTTGCGCAACATGTCAGAAAATTATATCCTCCACA